TTGGTACCGAACTCGTACCAAGAAGGCGAATTCACCAATGAACGCTGCCCTTTCCATCTGACACTGGGCGATCACGTGAACATCACGCTTTGGTTTTGTTATGTTTTACTCTATCTTAGATTTGGATAGACTTTAGACTACTTTTCCGAAAATCTAGGGTCTATAAGTGAGGAACAAGGAGAACGGTTCCATCAAGACATTAAGAAATGGAACGCAGATATCAAGGTCGGTGGAATGTTAACATGATGGCAGACTACTGTTGGATGTTGAAAAGGGAAAATTCACAAGAACACAGCCAAAAGAAGCTGACAGAAAAAGAAAAGCTTTCATTAAAGACTCACAAGCACTTTGCAAACTCTTGTGTGTCACTATTATGCTTAGTTTAGCTATGTAGCATTGTTTTTTTTGCTTTGACTCCATGTTGAAATAATAAAAATGAATCCAAAATTCATCGTTTTTTTGTACTTTTTCAATTATTTGATCCTTATTTTATAGGCAAACCTTACGTAATAGATAAGAACAAATATAATTATTGAAATCAGTGCAAAAAACTACATAAAGATCAGTTAACGAAAACAAAACAACTTTTCAAAAAGTTTTTTTTGCAGACCCGTGTCATCAATATGACGCTCGACGGTAATACTTGTACCGTTTGTCTCACAGAAAACCAGTCCCGTTATTTTCCAGCCACTTTTCGTTGAATCAATACATGAAATTTGTCACGAACCGCCTCATCTGTTCATTAAAATGAATTCAGACCGTTGAGTCTGAAGAAACAAAAAAAAAATGGAATCTTCTATTTCTGATTTCAGGTAGCCAAAAGTGAATTCAACGCATCCAAGAACTTCAACGAACCACCTTCTTGGAGTGACCTGGGACTACAAATGTTACTTTCAGAGTACCACTTTAGCGGAGGCCGCCTGATCCTACGCTGCGTTGCCGAAATCAGCGACATCTATCGCGAAGAGGCTGTGCTCAAACTAGGTAGTGTAAGAGATCCCGTCCCAGAGCGAGGTTAGTCAAATGATAATCATGAAGATTTTCTTGTCATGTTATTTGATTTGATGTCAATTTTTGTTCACTTTGATCTTCTACATAGATATTTGTGATGGCGATGATATCTCCTCCTACGAAAATGCCACCTATTGGTTCGACAGTAAGTTCCATTTGAATCTGTTTTTCCGTTAATCAACTGTCGCCCCCATACGAACGACAACTCTTAGGAGTTGAGAAACTTGTGCGAGCTATGGACTAACGAGGTCTCACTTGTTAGATTAGATTAATATGGGGCTTCTGTGCTAAACAGACACTACACTGCGACATTTGCAGGTCTCTTGTGTGTGCCCTCATGTATGCTAGAGTTCCTTGTCTAGGCCCGTCCTTGTATCTAAACTCCATAGGCTAGACCTCAAGTTTCCCATATATTGAGAGGGTTGTAGTTTTTCCTCTCCTAATGTTGCAAACCATATCCTTGACAAACCTTCGCAATAGCATAGTATGTGTACGGAGGTTTCCTCATCCTCTTGGCGAAGTCTGCATAGGGCTGTGTTTGCCAGTCCGATGTTCTTCATGTGTTTGTTGAGTCTACAGTGTCCCGTCAATAGCCCGACCAGAACTCTAGTTGATCGCCTATTCAGACTCAGTAAGTACTCCGTGAATTTTGGCGATGGCTTTTTAATGAACTTTTTGGCCTGTCTCATACCCGGCGTCTTATTCCACCATTTTTGAGATTGTTTTTCCTTTCAGTTGCTGTTACAAGTTTTTTGCGGCGTTTTTGCTGTAACACAAAAGGGTTCTGGGCCAATGGGGGAGCATCGTGCTCCTTCTTGTGGTAGTGAATCAGCATCTTCGTTGCCCTTGTATCCTGTGTGGCCTGGTACCCAGGCTAATGACAGTCTGTTTTGACTACCTAGTTCTTGTAGCTTTTCTAGGCAGTTCCAGACCAGTTTGGAATTGACCTGCATGGAGCTAATTGCTTTTATAGCTGCTTGGCTATCAGAGTATATTGCAATAGTTTCTCCCTTAAACTCTTGCCTCAGTAACTCTTCTGCACAGTGAAGTATTGCTGCCATTTCTGCCTGGAATATCGTCACTTTTTCACCTAAGCTTATTGAGACTTTTGTCTTTGGTTCAGTTATATAGATTTCTGCTCCTACACCTTCTTCAGTTTTTGAGCCGTCTGTGTAACAGGCAATCTCTGCATTTATTGGAGGTCCTCCCTTCCATGCCTCTCTGCCTGTTATAATTGTTTTGAAGTTTTTTCTGAAGCTATACTGGGGAAGCATATCATCCGATGGCATTCCCATTATGGGGTCGTTGTCACCTGTTAACATGTGATTCTTATTCTCGATTATCAAAAATGAACAAAGCTCCACAAGGAGACCAGTTGCGAAGCCAAAAATCAACATCAATCGCCTTTTTCATCCCTGATATTCAAGAATTTTGTCTTCTTTCGATCCCATAGATGACATCTTCTCATGGAGAAATAACATCACGTTCAATTTCAGGCTTGTCCTTCTGAAAACACCTCAGTGGTTCAGCTACTGATGAAACTTGTTTGGTTGAAAAAGAGCTGTCTGGTGTTTGATCATAAGACCATCTAACTTTTAAATAATATTAACTCATACAGACAATGAATTGGCACTCTCCGTTCCACATCAAATGCAGTGAATTGATCCTCATGGTTTAAAAGTTAGTCATGCAAGCCCTGAACATAACATAAAAAAAGAATGACCAATCAATCCTGGATTCAGTCTTCATCCTGCATGACCAGTAGATTTGGAGATTCTGAATGTTCACTAGTTTTTAATAGGGGAGCCCACGATGCAAAATGGAGATTGACTCGAGCATCATAGACATATTAGGTTGCAAAGCTTAGATGATAAGAAGAAAAAAATGTCATCTAATATATAAAAATGGATGTTTGTTGATTGGTTGGTTGGTTGGTAAGTGAGAAACTTCTACATCGCTCAATCGATCGTGATGAAACTTGGCATGTATTAGTAATTTTCCATAGAGAAGATTTATAGGCTATCAATTTTTCTGTAACTCGCCACTAGATGGCGCTGTGGAACAATTCTTTGAAAGCACTGTTCTATAACGCTGCGCACGCTTAAGTTCGTTGATTCTGATTCAGTCAAAACATTGGAACAGCAGCGATATAGCAACATAGTACTGGTATAATCTGTACCTTTTCATCGGTGGGGAAAGCGGCTATAGATTTTCAAATATGTAAAAAAAACTGTAGCATGGACATACTCGAGCGCGTCAGATATTGATTGCATCAATGTCCTACGTATTTTTAATAATGTTCGTATGTGAATCTGATCGTTTGCATGATGCGGGTGGTTGTATGTAAGGGTTATCCAGGAGAGAATCACCTTGGGAAAGAACTGGAGAATTGATTTATAAGAACGTTTGGCTCAAAATATGTATAGGGTTACTATATAACACTATGAATTCAATTCAAGACGCCTTTCGCCATACGCTACCTCTGTCAGATGGACTGATGCTGATGAAGCCACCTTGTAGCAAAACGTATCTCTATAGTGTGGAAATTGTACAATCTCCAAATGGAGTATTTCCAATCTAGGTGGAAAATATATAACAAATAACAACAAAGACAATTTTTCATCTGAATTATGATTTTCCTTGAATTCTAGCTCCTGGAAACTACTCGCATTCTCTCCCAGTATCCTCTGAGAGTGCATTTGAACGACTCTCAGGGTTGTGGGACGATTAATCAATCTTGAGCTTGGAGGCGTACTTAGGTTCACGTACTTCCATCATCCATCACACTTTAGCCAGTCTTAGGGAGTTTATATTCCTATAATTAAATGATCTAACTTGTCAACGAAGAACATCAATCAATAATTCGGAGACGCTACGTTTCACACTTTTATTTCTCTGGGAATTGCTGCAGGAATATTTTGAGGAAAAGGTGTAACTGAATGACAACTCATTCCTTCTAGGTCAGTTCTTGGTTTATTTCCATTTCTACAAGGTGGAATTCCAAAACGTAAGAAAGCTGAGTGTTAATATTTAATTCATCAATTTGTAAGAGAAATTCATGAATACAAGTTAGTGACTAATTGGACTTTCCAATAGTTTATATTAGGCAGTATGGAAGTAATATGTGGATTCTGTGATATTTTATTTTCAATTATGCTAAATTTCATTTTCACTGGAAAAATAATGAATGATCCAGGTGGCTCATTCACTAGATACGTCTTCAGAATTTGTCCAAATCAGGAAGAATACAATTCTCATTGGAAAAGTCACTCTCAATGTAGAATTGAAATAATAGATTCCAATGTAATTGAAACGAGTACGCTGAAGACTCACCTGGAACGCTCACTTGGAAAAAAATTTACACAAAGCCAGACTGTCTCTATGGGCATGTCGAAGGATTTGTGGTAAAACTTGTGGTTTAGATCCCAAACAATTTCATTGGATTTATGTGATGATCGTCAGACCAATGATCACTTATGGTGCAATTGCCTGCTGGCCGAAGGCTTTATAGAAAACAGCCCAAGCGAAGCTCTCTGGCTTACAAAGACAGGCTTATCTGGCTATCAGTAGTACCATCAGTACCACACCGTCAGCGACCATGGATATCCTTCTAGATCTACCCCCTCTCAACATTTTTTTTGAAGATAGAGGCTAGATGGACTGCTTACAGACTTGTGCACATTGCCAATTGCATAAATCAATTTAATGCAGAGTACAACAGACTGTTGACACTGAAAGTCACAGCATTCTATGTCTTCCGACTTTATGCCTCCAACTGTCAACTACGAACTGCTTTATAAAGTACTATTCCCAAGTAGATACGACTGGATCCTCCGGGAGAAGGAAATATCAAGAGCAGATAGTTGTTGGTTCACAGATGGATCAAAAGCACCTTTCGGTTCTGGTGCAGGAGTTTTTAGTCGCAGACTCAGGATAGAGATATCTACCTGACAAGGAACTTATGCAACTGCATTTCAAGCGGAAATTTACGCTATTGAATTGTGTGCGGAGAGATTGGATATTGGTAGCTCTTGGCTTCTACCGGGCAACGTCTAAATTGGTAGAGTCAAGAATATTCAAAAAAACTCAGAATTACGCCATTGCCAACTTCATTTCTCTATTACGTTTTGATTGAAATCCATAAAAAGAAACCATCCTTGACGAAACAATGTCATATCCACGAATATAACACACAAAACGCTCACCACATTAGAATAAATCGATTTTGTCTTCACTTATCGCAAAAAATTCCATAGATTACTCTTTGAACAATATTTTGCCCCAAGATTCCAAAGAACTCAGTCTAAACACATACAAGAGAAGATTGAAAAATTATTTGTTGAGGTATTGTTTCTATTCTGTCGGTGACTTCAGAACACATTTTTGTAGTAACATACAAGTCACTACTTCTTTTTGATTTTTAAAGTTTTTACGTACGTGATTGTTGTGTAAATTTGAACTTGTAAATGTCATGTAAATTTTAACTTGTGAATTTTAAATGTAAAGCCAAACATGACTGGCCATTATATATATTCAATATAATGTCTCATATTAAGAACAGCGTGAAGGAACGGCTATGGGTAACCCATTGTCTCCATTTATAACGAACCTATTCATGGGTAGGTTTGAGACGGAAGCTGGGAAACAACTCAATCACTTCCCTAGGGTCTGGATCAGGTGTGTTGATGACATATTCGCTGTAGTGGATACCAGGATAACCAGAATCGAGAATGTCCTTTCAGTACTAAACAACAGGTATAAGAGTATAAAATTCACATATGAAGCAGAAAAAGAACGAAAGTTGCCGTTTTTAGATGTATCGGTCAAAAGGAACGAACAGAAAGAAATAGAATTTGACATTTACAGTAAAGACACGGGCACTTTCAGATACATTCCCAATGACTCGAATCATTGTCCACAACAAAAATATAGTTGACAAGATAATTAGAAAATGTGAGTTTAGGGAAGCACTTCGTAAATCTTCAACATTTCAAAAAGAGGAG